TCTCATGATTCTGTGCTCACCTTGTGAAGCCAGATCTCCAGCAGAGAACTGGCATGAGGGTCCTCTTGGAACCATGAATCCTTGCTGTTAAGTTCATTGTGGACTCAGCCTAAAGCTTGGCCTTCTTATGCTGCCTCAGGAGAGTCTCCTTGGTTGTAGTGTTTTCTCTGAAAGGTTAATGTTTCCTTTGTGTCCAGGGTTTGCAGACTGGACTTGAAGAGGTTAATTTTTCTCTTCTGCTACGGTGTAGTATTGCTGTTGTTTAGTTGCTCAGTTGTGTCCGACTCTTTGCAACCCCATGGACTGTAGCCCGCCAGGCTCCTTTGTCCATGGGATTCTCCAGGCAAGAATACTGGAGTAGGTTACCATTTCCTTCTCCAGGGGATATTCCCAACCTAGGAATAGTGGATTCTTTACCACTGAGCCACCTGGGAAGCCTTTGGTGTAGTATACTTTGTGATATTTCTATAGCTCTGCAGAAAGTTAATGCTTAGAAAATTGCATTTTATGTAATTACCTGAAAGAGTGGACTGAATGGAGGTCACAGTACAAAAAAAGAGATTAGCTTTGTGAATTTGCCAGGGGACTCTCATTCCCCCCCAGGCTGCGTCCGTCCTTGAGTCTGTCTCCTCTCTGGCTCCCCCATCCCCGCCCTGGCTCCAAATGGCTTTTTATCCCTGGATAGAATGACTCATGGGCTCTTGTCGTGAAACCACTTTCCCAGTCTCAGCCCCACTCGTGGGCTCTGACCTCCTGGGTTAAGGTCAAACCTGTTCAATTGTCTAGGGTCCCCTGGACTTCAGCCCTGTCCTGCACTGGGTGCCAACAACTGGGCTGGACCTGGGACTCAGGAATTGGGGTTTCTCCGCTTCCCAGGATCTCTGCTTGTTACAGTGTAGATCCCCAGCATACACAGTTACCACTTACTGTTCTTAGAGTCTCTAGTTTTCACTACGCACATTTGTAAGCAGAACATCTGACAGGCAATACTTTGACTTAAATCCTGGCACATTCAGAACCCCCTTAGTTGAAGGATGGTGCCTCTTTTTCTGCTTCGCAGAAAATGAAAATAATGAATGTGGTTAGATGACAATCAGGATAGATTCTTTCCCACCAAAATACCGAGACTAATGTTGGTTTAGTGAAAAGCATTAGTTGCTCAGTTGTATCCAACTTTTTGTGACCACATGAACTGTAGCCCACCAAGCTCCTCTGTTCATGTAATTCTCCACACAAGAGTAATGGAGTGGGTTGGCCATTCTCTTCTCCAAGGGATTTTCCTAACCTAGGGATTGAATCTGGGTCTCCCGCATCGCAGGCAGATTCTTTACTGTCCGAGCCACCAGGTTTACAACTATTTAAAAATAGAACACAAAGGCATCGAGAAGAGGCAATCTCTATAATACAGGGACTTTAATTACATATCTCTAAGTGCATAGAAATTAATGTACAGATCTGGTTACTTTTTGTGGATTTACTGACCTAAGAAAATTAAAGAAATACCACAAAAGAATCAGAGCCATGACTGGCTGATCTAGAACACACACCCTGGATGGCAAGTGAGTCTTCCAGCTTTAGTTATTCTTGGATGACTGGCTGTCTACACCACTCAAAAGCAGTTCACTTTATTTTGGCTTTTTGGTTTGCTTTTATGCATAGACTTGGATTATGTGCAGAGATTTCCTCAAAGAAACTAGGCTGCCTGATTCTTTCTTTTTTAACAAGTATTCTCCATTAATGGCTATAGTCTTTAACCTCTCGTTTTCAGGCTGATGCTTGGCATTCCTTTATGAAAACTTTTAAAGCCAAAAGTCAAAACTTTTTAAAGTCATAAGTCGAAGCCTTAAGACTTTTGCAGTTTAGGGGAATTCCCTAGTGGTCTAGTGGTTAGGATTCTGTGCTTTCACTGCAGAAGATGTGGGTTCAATCCCTGGTTGGGGACCTAATATCCCACAAGTCACAAGGTGTGGCTTTAAAAAAAACAGTGTTCCTGAGCTAAAGGTAACAGAGTAAGGAAAGTGGTGACAGGAAAATTAAATGCAGAGATTTCTGGTTTGGAGTAAGATGGAGCAGGCAGATTCTTTACTGTCTGAGTCAGCAGGGAAGCCCAAGATGGAGCAAGCACACTTAACCCATCTCTCTCACTAAATGCAGCTTTAAAACCTGGACATACTGCTCGGAACAGCAATATGAAGTCCCTGAAAAGTAAACAGTTGCAAGAAGGGAAGGACACCAGAATTCAAAGTAGCACAGAACCTGTGGTCTCTTCCCCATTTTTTCCCCTCAAGTATTCCCCAGCCTGGACTCAAGGCAGCCTGAAACCCAGAATTGAAGACAAAGTATTTAATTTTGCTCCAGGAGTGAGAATGGGGCTACTAATGCTCAGAGACTGGGGGGAAATCCCTGTCTTTTATCTTTTTCTTTTCTCCACTCTCTCACGCCTCAGCCCACACAGGATTGTGTAGCAGGAGCTGTGAAGGGTGCTGGGGAGAAGATGGGTAGTGGAGGACGTCAGTCACCCAGACTATGAGAGAGAGGATCCCTCTTTTCTGATTGGAGAAACTGTGGTCCCCAGAGGGTGGAGGAAACTCTCATTGAGTTTTCCCTCTCACTGTCCTCCTGATGCTTGAATCAGTACAGTTGTAGGACATGCACAGTAAAGCAGGGTAGCTAAAGTCTCAGGTCTCTGACCAGAGGACTGAAAAGTGAGCCCCAGGAATCTGGAAGGACCAGAGAGATCACCAAGAGGGAGGGGCTCTGGAGAACAACTCCGAAAGGTTGCTTATGAGCTCCTGGCCTTATCCCCGAGCTGCACCTCTTCGGATCTGACCCTGAACAGCTTGTCCAAGTCTGTTAGAACCGACCACCAGGATGGACCATCACACCATCCCAGGTGGCCACTAGGTGGCACCCGTGGAGCAGCTGAAAAGTGCTGCCAAGTCAAGACGGATCTGTTGTGCGAATGACAACCTCAGGGGGCAGGTTGGAACTGAGGTCTGAACCCAACCAAACTGATCACCTGCTGTGTGAGCTATCATGTTATTGCCTCTCAGCTCAGAGTGCATCCTTCAACGTGTGAACTCTGTGGTATACGATGGAATTCCTCTAGGTATGTGTCCTCTGAAGTGAACATCATGTTAACCTTTCTCCGGAGAGGACACTGCAGGGACCGTGTAGTAGGAAGATGTTTCCTGCTTTTCCCATGGTGGGTGGCTCACAAGACGAGAGGAAGTTTTTTGCAAATCATACATCTGGCAAAAGACCAGTATCTGGAATATGTAAAGAACTGCCACAGCTCAACAATAAAAAGACAAACAGCCCAGTTTAAAAAATGAGCAGAGAATCCGAATAGCCATTTCTCCCAAGAAGGTATACAAATAGCCAATAAGTACATAAAAAGATGTTCCGCATCATTAGCTATCAGGGAAATGCAAAGCACAAGACTCCCTTCACACCCACTGCGACGGCTGTAATACAAAGGGAGATGTTAACCATGTCAGCGAGTATGTGGACCTACTGGGACCCTTACACACTGCAGATGGGAATGTAAAATGGTGCAAGTGCTTTGGAAAACAGCCTGGCAGTTCCTGAAAAAGTCAAACATAGAATTGACATATGACTGTCTAGTTCTACTCCTATGTATTTACCCAAGAGAACTGAAAACATATGTACACACAAAAACTTGCACCATTTGCACCTTTGTCAAAAATTTCCTTTAGGTAGAAGAGTTTTAAGGGAGACAAAAGACAGCCCCAGATATCAGAAAGGAAAGAGGGGAATCAATTGAGGTCAGTATTTTCAGCTCTTCAGACTAAATTTATGGACCTCAGATGTTCAGCTGCACAAACATAAGCCAATTCTCTCACTCATATTGGCAAGCCATTTGTGGAGAGCACAAACTTGAGGCAGAAGAGGAAATATTTGGTTTTGTATCCCCACTGACTGCTATTTAAAAGTTTCTGGAATTGAAACAGAGAATATTCAACAGCCATACTATTTGCCAACTGACGCTCTATGTATTTTGCAGATCAGGAAATGGATTTAGCCAGATTTCAATGCTGTAGGTAGGGGAAGTTTAAAACAATATCTAGAAACTTGTGTTACTTCAATAAGGGAGAAAGTATGCCTTAATGGAATGAATATCAAAATGTACTTTTGATCTTTTTTTTTTTTGCAGTGAGCAAATAATCACCTAAAACAAACAGTAAAGTTTAGGTGGGAAAATAAAAAGAAGAGAGAAACATCATTGAGTGGGCTGAGAGTGAGGCAAGCTGGGTGCAAATCTTTTATTCACTTTCTTTCATTTATTCACTTATTCTTTCAATAAATATTTATGGAGAGCCTACTATGTGCCAGGTATCATGCTTGGTCTCACCAAGAGGTGATGACCAAGATGTACCTGAGTCTGAATTTTCTTGCATTTGGAAAACCACATAAACAGAGATCAGCAGCTTGTGAGCGTTCATGTCACAGGAAAAACCTACAGGACAAGTGCCCAGGCCATGTGGTTAGTCCCAGGCGGGAAAGTGCTCAGTGGGGTTTGGTACAATGCTTGGTTTCTTACTTAATGGTGGTTGGTGTTTAGCCTCAGATAACCAGCATGTGTGTTTTAATTAATTCATCAAATTTATCTTTGAGCATGTTACAATGTATTTGGAAGATCAGATTCCAATAAATTTAATAGAATGTGGAACCATGAAGCTTGAGGAATGCCCAGGGGGCTTTGGGAACCCATGTTTCAGCTGAGGGGTAAAGAGATAAGTGTGATGTTCTAGAGGAGATGACCCCAGTTGAGTGCTGAATTTTGACTTACAGACAAGAGTCCTCTCAGATGTTAAGGACATTAGAAACTGCCATTCTGGAAGCAACAGGGCATTTCATCATTAGTGATAAAATTGATTCACTCATGTTTTAAAGTCCAAGTTAAAACTATTTTCTTCTCTGTGTGCATGAAGCTGACATATATATGTTTCTTAAATAGGTAATTTCATGCTTCCAAAATGGGACATAAAGTGGTCGTATTCGACATTTCCGTCGTCAGAGCCTTGTGGGAAACTCGTGTCAAGAAGCACAAAGCCTGGCAGAAGAAGGAGGCAGAAAGGCTTGAGAAAAGCGCTTTGGAAAAGTATGTGTTCTCTGTACTTGCTTTGCACTTTCTTTAGCTAATAGGGAGGCTGCAGTTATGTTGTAGAGGGGGTGCCTCTCCTCTGAGATTTCTCCCTGTCAGTGACATGTGCTCACTGGACTTCAGAATCTTCACGCTGTTGCTCACAATGAACGTTCGATTCCTATAACAGTAACACACATAGCTATAAGGACCCACATACATTGCAGGCTCCGTGCTAGCCATGGAGAGACAGCAATGACACGATAAATGTCTCCATAGTAAATTCTGAGAAGACTGCTTAGCTGCCCTCATCAGGCTGTCTGATGCTCTCCCCCTGTGTGACCACGTGAGGGCTGCTGTCTATCTTGCACTCAGCCCTCCCCTGTTGAGCTGAACTCTAGGTAAGATTCATTGCGTCGATGCCGTTTTTACCTAGATTGGAATGATGTGGTTTGACTGCTATTACACACTCATGAAATATGAGTAAAAGAGAGTTATTGTGTATGTGAAAACTAAGTTGAGTGTTTTGGAAAAACGTGTGTGATCAGTATGAACCACACAATTGAATTAACACTGTGCAAGATGGATACAAGTACAGTGAGCTAGAAAGGTTGCATATTCAGGTGGCTTTGCACATCTGTAATTTTTACTCCTTGTGAAGAAACTCAAGCTAGAAGTCTTGGATGGTGTGTTATGGGTGTGGTTTATATAAGAAAGGCAGAGTGGGATTCTAATTGCAGATCCATTCTCAAAGGCAGTCCATGATAGCCATATCAAGTTGGCAAATGGTGACATATGTTGATGCTTTAGGATAAAATCAAAATGTGTAGGATATGAATGTCTCTTTATTCTTGTTTCTCCACTTCTCTGAACTATTTCGACCAAACAAATACCTATTCTGATCATGCTGGGTAATGAAACTGCTACTTGTAAACATTACTTCGAGGGGCTCTGTTACCTCACTTCCTGGTGTTTCATTTTGTAATACTGTATTTGTCCCAACACTTAAATGTTATAAGTAGAGATAAAATAGATAACATCATTCTACATGAATGAAACTCAGTCATTTGGAGGGAGAGCTAGAGATGCTATTGTTAGGCTCTAAGTGAGGAATTTTTCATCCAATGAGGCTATTGCCATCTAGGCTGACTGTGGGCTCATTTCCTAAGGAAAGAGTTTTTATTTGCACATTTACTGATTTAATTAATAGAGTCCTAATGACATTATTTTGTATGTTTATATTGTATTTGAAATTCTACCAAAATTGACTCAAGGGGAAGATTATTCAGTTAAATGAGTGATAAAGACAATGACATTTTATTTATGTTAGTTACTCTCAAGGAAGAGAATGGCATTGTAAAAATAGTTTATATTCTTATTGTGACCATCCTCTCATTAGGTTTCAAAGGGACTAAGACATAAACATTTAAAAAAGAAATCCAAAGAAGATTTAGTATTTAAATATTTTTAAAGTCGCATATCTGATTTCCTTTTTTTCTCTGTTCTATGTTGACTACCAAGATATGTGAAATAGTCTCATCAGTTTGTAATTTGTGATATAGGAAAGATGTATTGGGTAGGACTGAATGGGTATCTTTTCATTGCATTGCCAGAATCTACTTTTAGGTTCAGTCTAAGAAATGAAGAAGGAAAAATTAGAAACATTAGTCTGAAAAGTGCTCAGTGAATAGAAGACCTCGCTGTGGCTGTGCTGTTGGCTGTGAAATTTCTGGAGGACTTCTTTTATTAGTTCAACCAGTATCTTGTATCTAGGGTCTGGCCGGAATCCCTGACTGCTATTAGAGCTAGCTGCTGCTGCTGCTGCTGCTGCTGCTAAGTCACTTCAGTTGTGTCTGACTCTGTGTGACCCCATAGACGGCAGCCCACCAGGCTCCACCGTCCCTGGGATTCTCCAGGCAAGAATACTGGAGTGGGTTGCCATTTCCTTCTCCAATGCATGAAAGTGAAAAGTGAAAGTGAAGTCGCTCAGTCGTGTCTGACTCTTTGCGACCCCATGGACTGCAGCCCACCAGGCTCTTCCGTCCATGGGATTTTCCAGGCAAGAGTACTGGAGTGGGTTGCCATTGCCTTCTCCATTTAGAGCTAGAGCTACAGGCAAATATTTAAGTTCATTTTTATCAGATGGTATTAAAATATTTAAATTATACTGAAAAACTAATAATGAAAAGCAAATCACCCCAAACCCCTGCTAATATTTCCCAGAGGAGTCCACTTCTAACTTTTTTTGGCATTTTCTTCTGGTATTAAGTTCCTATCTCTTTGTGTGCTGGTATTTTTAAATGTATCTGTTTTATTACCTTGTTTGGTGCAGTGGTAAAGAATCTGCCTGCCAATATAGGAGATGCAGGAGATGTGGGTTTGATCCCTTGGTTGGGAAGATCCTCTGGAGTCAGAAATGGCAACCCACTCCAGTATTCTTGCTTGGAAAACTCCATGGACAGAGGAGTCTGGCAGGCCATAGTCCATGGGGTCACAAAGAGTTGGAGATGACTGAGCACGCATGACATTATTTATAGACTCCATATATAGAACTTGAAGCACCGGCTAGTCGATTACCCAGTGCTATTCTCCAGCTCAGCTCCCTGTGACTAAGACCTTCGAGGTAGTGTGCTAGCCAATGCCATCAGCAAGACAGTTTTCTCAAATGCTCCTGTTCTCCTAGATTAATGGCAAAGCATGAAACTCCACTGATACATGAAGTGGTTTCTGAAGAGCTAAAAGTCTGACTAAGGGGGAAATATTTGCACATAGTCCTGGGGAACCAGCCCTGCAGAGATGGGATCAAGAACTCCAAGCCGACATAATAGCAAGTGCAAACACCGTCAGGCAGGGGTTTGCCTGGGTGGTTCAGGGAAGAGCCAGGAGGCTAGAGTGATTGGGCCAGAAAAAATAAGGGAGGGGGCAGAAGTGGGTGAGGTCAGACAGGCAAGGGGAGGGCACCGATCTGCAGGGCCTTAGGCCATAGTGAGACAACTGCTTTATTGGGTGAAATGAGAAACCAGTGAGAGGTGTGGGCAGCGGCATGACGTGGTGTGACTGACACTGTCACAGGTCTACTCAAAATGCTGGGTGAATGTAGACTGTTGGGAGGCAAGAGTGTTCGCTGCTTAAAGATGCTGGTGACTTGGGACCAGGATGGGAGCAGTTAAGATGGTGAAGAGTGACCAGATTCTGGTAAAAATGACCTTATTTGCTGATGGGCTTGATGTGAGATATGAAAGAAAGCACAGAGTCAAAGATAATCCTGAGGTTTGGGGTCAGAGCACCTGGGAGGTCTTTTTACTAAAATGGAGAAAGAAGCAAGTTTTGAAGTTGGAGATCAGGAGTTTGGGTTGGAACTTGTCAACTTTGGGATGGCTTTTACTTATTCACGTGGAGCTGTTGGGAGGCAAGGAGGCTGGATTCACTGAGGATGCCTTGGCTGGAATGATATAATTGGGACTTGTCAGCATTTGGATGTATTAAATGCCAAGAGACGAGAATGTCTTCAGACAAAGATGATCTATATCGCTATCAATTTTCTACATGTTGACGTCAATCCCTGCCGAGTTGTAAAATAGCTTAGCCTAGTCAACAACAAAGGTGCATAGCCCTGTAGGATTGGGTAAAATCCACCAGGGCTCTGGCATTCCAAAAAGATATCTACCAGTCTCTTGTTTTCCTGAGCCTTCCATTTTTTTTTTTTTCTTACAATTGGCAGTGTTTGGTAGTTAGGGAAAAGCCCTGCCCTCAGAGATGTTCCCATGCCAGACTCTGCTCTGTTCCTGCCCCTCCTCACCACTTGGCTCCTGGGCTTGCCTGAGACCCCAGAGCCAACTGTGATTCTAGTGCATTTCTCCTTCAGGTACCACTTGAGAGTTTCCATGCTAGGATTGACCCTCTGCTACAGGGTTTTTGTTTGTTTGTTCACTCAGCATTTGTGTTGCTTTGGGTCATGCAGAGACCAGGGCTGCAGTCGCAGCCTGTTTCTGAAACAGCCCCCTTTTTAAACCCAGGACCCCACCTGCCACCAAGTCCCTAAGTTGGGCTAAGAAGGGCCCAGATGCCTTCCTGAATGTTTTTTGCACCAAGTTCCAATCCAAGGCAGGCTACTTATTTTGAGACAGTGTCTCTGTGTGATAGATTTGAAGGAAAGGCACAACAATACTTGTTTTGTATCACACTCTAGGTTAACCTATTAAATGCTCCAAGCAGATATCCAATCTCTAAATGGAGAAAGACCCCCGCCCTCTGCCAGGTGCACAATACTGTTCTAATGACCATGTGGGCCTCAGAAGGGCAGTGAGATGTAGTCCATCATCATGGAGCTTATGACCAAGCTGGAGGAAGAAGAAAACTATAAAATGATAGGCTAGAGAAGTATTCTGGCCTAGAGAATTCCATGGACTGTATAGTCCATGGGGTGTAAAGAGTCGGACACGACTGAGGGACTTTCACTTTAGGGAGGTAGCAACGAGAAGGTACTGGGAGTAATGGGGAGGCTGAGGAGTCCTGGGCCAGCTCCAGTGTCTGACTGAAACTGGGGTTTATGAATAACAGGTTCATCTGTAGGAGTGAAGTTTCCCAAGGTGGCTGGTGGTAGACCTTCTAAAGTTATATTTTATAAACTGGGGCTGTCTGTATATTTCTATCCATATGCTCCTGTGTGCGTGCTAAGTCTCTTGAATAGTGTCTGACTCTGTGCGACCCTATGGACTGCAGCCCACCAGGCTCCATGGTATTCTCCAGGCAAGAATACTGGAATGGGTTGCCATGCCCTTCTCCAGGGGATCTTCCCAACCCAGGGATCGAACCTTGGTCTCTTAAGTCAGGTTCTTTACCACTAGCGCCACCTGGGTTGATGGCTCCTGAAATATCAGCAAATTCCTGAATTTTTAAAAGTTGCATTTAAAAAAAATTTGGGTTGGCACCTTATAATATCAAAGGATATTGTAATTAATCCAAGGAATAGGTAATTTTGGTAAAAATTTCAGCCGGGTAACTCCTGTATTTTAAAGTCAGATTTGCTGATAATTCACAACTCTGAAGGTTTAAGATTCCTACCCACTTCCCACCTCCAGATCCCCCACTGCAGAGGAAACAGGGAAGGAGGGCGGGGAGAGGGGGCGGAAGTGGAGGGGAGGGCTAGTCTCCGGCTGTTGGGAGACTGCAGGTGATGAGAAGGACTGCGCATGCGCCCAGGTGGCCTGCCCGGCTTCTCCAGGCAGGTGACCGCGACCTCTGCTACCCCGTTTTAGGATAAAGGAGGAGTGGAACTTCGTGGCCGAGTGCCGGAGGAAAGGCATTCCCCAGGCCGAGTACTGCAAGAACGGCTTCATAGACACCAGCGTGAGGCTGCTGGAACGGATCGAAAGGCGCTCTCTCGCTGCGCAGAGCGCGCTTTCCAAGGAGAGAGACAAACGGAGCAGTGAGTTTGTGTTTGAACTTTCCGGCGATCACTGGAAGGTGAGTCCCCGCAACAAGTGGAGGCTGGGTGCCGCGCTGCGGCCGTCTGCTGCTTAGGCTGAGCTCAGGGCATTGACCTTGGTCCAGCGCGCGCTCTTGTCTTGAGAGAGATTTTCTCTGGATGCGGAGGATCCCTTGCCCGCTGTAAGCTGAGTTCCTGCATATTTTCTGCGGCGAAAGACTGTATAGTCCTGAAAAGAGCAGCGGGATCCCCTTGGGTCTCTCTGTGAGGGACTGGGACCCCAGCGGCTCCCCAGGCTGGCCTGTCTTTAAAATGCCTGATTCTGCCAACCCACTGACATTAAAAAATAACTATTTGCCTTTTTTTTTAAAAAAACAAACAAACCCTGAGCATGCAACCTGCCTAACACTCCTCTGACTTCGCTGACTTGTCACAGAGGGCAGGGCTGCAAAGGAATTTTGCAGCCAGATTTTCTCTGAGATTCTGAGGCCAGGGAAGAGATGTCTTCTCTTTCTTTCCTCGTGTGTATGGGTCCTTCCTGCTTCCACTCCCCCCAGGTTGCTGCTTGGCTTGGAGAGGCTGCCTGTGGTCTGACAGTTCCTGGTTGAGGCAGCACCTGGTGTGGGTGTGCATGGGGTGGGGAATGAGCTCAGACTGTCTTCCCTTCAGTGGGACAGGCTTCTCTGGACCCGCCCTCCATCTCTTTGTGGCCGAAAGGCCTCTGGACCAGGAAACTGAGCATTTGGGGGGTGGCCTTTACTGGCCCCGTGACCTGAGGCAGTTTATTCCACTTCGCATGCATTTTTACCTCCTTCTCTGTCAAATGGTGCTGCTACTTGCCTTGACCCCCTCTGAGGGCCCCTGTGAGGGTTAAATGAGCAGATACTCTGTGACACTGACCCATTAGCGACACGTCCCTATAAAAATGGGAGAGACTATGGCTGAAACCTCTTCAGTGGCCTTTCTCCTGCATCCCCATCACTGAGATCAGTGCCGCCTTTTCTGGGGCAAGAAGGAGGGCCTGTCTGGATTTCTAATTAGATATCACTGATAAATCATTCTCTTGTACCATCATCAGACCTGATCCCAGCCCCTCCGGGGAATCTGCTAAGTCCTCTCGGCTCACAGCACCTTTGGAAAACCACTTTACAGAGCATTTAGTGAGTGCCTGGTGTGGTAAGGGGATAGGTTACGAGCCAGGCGGCTCAGGAGACTCCAGGGTGAACCCTGTGGACAGTGTCTTCATTACTTACAGTCTTTCCGTCCCCTCCCCTCTGTTCCCTGAGCTGGTACCCTATCCTCACTGTACTCACCCCGGGAGAGACTCTGGGGCCTTCAACCTTCATCAGTATGAATTTCAGTTGCTGTTTTCCCTCCCCAGAGAGATCTGTGCTTCAGTCTTGCCCCTACATAAGGAGTGAAAAGCTCCATTAAGGGATTTTCGCCATGAGTATTAGAGTGCTCCTGGCAGCGAAGGAGTTCTGGCCTCTAGCATCACTCCAGGCAGCAGGCCTGGTCCCTGCAGGAGGCCAGCATGGGATGGACAGGGCAGAGGAGCTTCTGGGGCTTTGGGAACTGGGTAGAGTCCCTGAGAGCTGGCTGTGGGGCCGTGATCTGTGGCTTTGGGTTCTTGTTTAGAGTTGGAGCTAGGGGGGCTAAGTCATTCCTTGTGAGCTGGAGGCACCCAGGCCCTGGGCTCTGTTCTCTCAGGGAGATTTCCCCAATTTTATTGAACAACTTTTCAATAGAAAATTTCACTTCTACTATCAGGTTTTTTAAGAAAACTTTTTGTTTTGTATTGAAGTGCAGGCAATTGATCAAGTTATGATAGTTTCAGGTGAACGGCGAAGAGACCCAGCCACACACACACTTGTATCCATTCGCCCCCACCCTCCCCTCCCATCCAGGCTGCCATATAACACTGAGCAGAGTGCCCTGTACTATACTTGTGCTGTTCTCTGTACTATCAAGTTTTTAATGTCCAAGAGCTATTTGTTTTGTAAATGAACGAATCCTGTGATATGGCTTTATTTTTCTACTTTTATACGTAACTCTTTAAGTTGGCCTTTAAAAATTTTGTCCTCTTTTCATGTCATGGGGACTTTTCTTATTTATCTTGGGATTGATAGCTTTTCTGGAGGCAGTTTCCATCTTTCAGGGTCTCCTCTTTTAGGGTGTTTTGTTTGGCCTGCCATTTGGGACTGTCTGGGAGCTCTGGAGACACGGGGTGTTGGGAGCACTGAGAAACCAATTGGAAGGTCCAAGTCTGTGTCAAGTGGGGGCTTTGTGTTTTGAGGGAGCCCCCGTATCACCAGTGTGCTCCCCTCCACCGCCGCCCCAGGAGTACATATTTATGATTTGTCTGCAGCTGGTGAGAGCCCACAGAGAGAATACTCTCTCCGGGCAGGGACAGGCCTGGCAGGCTGTGCCCTGGAGAGAGGAGGGCTGGGGGCGGAGTCTTGGCATCCATCACTCACCCTGTGGTTGCTGCCTCCCCCACTGGATGTGCCTGAAGGTCCCCAGTCCAGGGACTCTGGTTAACCCTCGAGTGGATAAGCCTCAGTCTCCTACAGGGGCAGTAGCTCTGTGACGTGGATAGGGGCCGAGATCTGGTCCTAGACTTTGAACCTGACCTCCTCCTCTCAGCCCTGGCTTCCTCCCTCACCTCCGCACTCCCTGGCTCTTCCACTTTCCAAGCTTCGAGGGCATCTGGGGAGAAGTTCAGGTTGTGTCTTATCGTTCCTGCTGCTGCTGGCCTAAGACTGAGCAGGTCAGGGGGTGCTGCCTGCCTGGCATCTGCCTGCCTACCATCTGCCAGCTTTCTAGCTACCAAGACTTTGTTGCTACTGCCTTTCTTCTCTTTTTGCCCTCTTGTAACATTTATGCCTTCAAAAAGGAATTCTTTTACTGTCTTTTTTCATAGAGAGGAGCAAAAGTATATGTGTGTGTTCAACCTGCCATCTTCACCCTGTTCCTTTTTTTTTTTATTTAATGTGCTATCTTAAGATTTTCCCCATGTTATTAAAAATGGTTGTGGATATAATTTTAGAAGGCATTTTAACTTTTGCAAGCATGTTGTTGTTAGAAGAGCAATGTGAGAAAAGTTATTTATGATGCACTTGACCATTGAAACTTCAAGAAAGAGAGCGTTGTTATGACCTGGGGTCAGCTTCCTGAGGCCCCAGCTCCTATCTTGTCTGAGCTGCAGAAGGAAACCATCTGGTCTGGAGTGGGTGGCATTCGGATCAGGATGAGGAGGTGCTGAGATGGGTTTGCCAGACCTGTGTGCTGGGGTCAGTCACACAGGGCCCTATGCTGGGAAGGGCCCTGGGCTTGATTTAATGCTCTGCCATCTCTGTCTTGAAATTCTTAATAATTTTTAGAAGGGGCTTGCATTTTCATTTTGTCCTAGTTCCTGAAACTACGTAGCTGGAACGTACCCTAAGTAACCCATTTAAATGTCTTTGGATTTCAATGTTCCTCGTTTATTTATTTTTAATAATTAATTAATTTTTTGGCTGTGCTGAGTCTTCTTGGGCTTTTTTCTAGTTTCGGTGAGCAGGGGCTACTCTCCAGTCTAACGCTCTCCCAACTGAGCTATTTCGGCGCAGGGGTTACTCTCTAGTTGCGGTGCACGGGCTTCTCATTGCAGTGGTTTCTCGTTGCAGAGTGCGGGCTCTCGGGAGCACAGGCTTCAGTAGTTATGGCTCTCAGGCTCTAGAGCACAGGCTCAACAGTCGTGGTGCATGGGCTTAGCTGCTGCTCGTCATGTGGGATCTTCCCGGATCAGGGATCGAACCCCTTGTCTCTTGTATTGGCAGACAGATGCTTTACCACTGAGCTACCAGGGAAGCCCTCAGTTTTCTTCTATAAAATGGGCCTCAATCATGCCTATTTTACAGCACTGTTACTGTGAAAGCATATTAAAGATGAAAAGACTTCTGTAAGTTACAAGCTTAATCCACAAATCCAACAGCAGTGATCCTAAAGCCCATTCCAAGTACAGGTACCAAGCGAAGGGTCACTGTGGGCGGTCTGATTGCTGCCTCCGGCCCCACCCCCCCCCCCACCTCTCCCCGGTTCATTCCTGCCCCATTCTGCTGACATTGCACTGTGGTCAGCTCTGTGAGGTCAGGGGACATGCATGTCCCTCAATGCACAGCACACCTTGTTGAAGTGGGGGCTCGTAAGCCTATGAATTGAAATTCAGCTGGCCAAATAGCCCCTCTAAGGTCTAAGGCATTTCTCAATACCTTGACGATTTTATCCCAGAACACTTGAGGCAGGGAAGATCCTGGATACAGCTGAGTTGCTCTCTGTCATTTCAGAAGTGAGGGCCAGAAAAGGAGTGCCTTTGAGATGTGGCTCAGGATCCAGGTCTCCCCACTGACCATCTCGGCTCTTATCCTGTTAAAGACTCATTAAAAAATTTAGAAATTTGGCACAGCAAATATTAAGTCTTTATCAGATATTTTAAAAAGCAAATATTAGTAGTACAGAGGAAGGGACATGGAGCACACATTTTAAAATCTAAGTCGTGGCCAGATTTTATTTTTAGACAATGTTAAATCCGTATGTTGTAAATAAATAAAATGTATGTGGCTTGGGGTGGGAGCCTGGTTATCAGTGTCCAGTCGGCATTTGATTTTAATAATATGAATTCATGGCCCTTTTGAAATTGGGCTCATCTGCTGCTGTGCAGTTACTGACAGCCACAGCATCTTGCTTTCTCTTTGGAATGTCTGCAGAGCTGGCGTGCGTCGTGTGTCCTTGCTAAGTCAGTTTAGGCTAATGCTCTCACCCAGGCTCTCTCTCCTCTAGGTTTTGGAACAAGTGCATGTTTTCCTTGGCTTCATGCATTCTGCCTCTGAACTCCTACGCAGGGAGGAGTTAGTTCTGACTGATGGGTTCCCTTTTGTTCTAGGAGTTCCCAGATTCTTTGAAGGAGCAGACGCATCTGAAAGAATGGCACATCAGCAATACTCTGATTCAAATCATTCCTAAGTATATAGAACTGTTTCAAGCCATGAGGATTCTGGATCTGCCAAAAAACCAGATCTCCCGTCTTCCAGCTGAAATCGGTATGTTCCTTAGCTGGAACCTTCAGGCCCCTTGTCTGGGAAGCAGGTGACACGGAGAACTCTTCCTTCTCCTGCTGGCCCAGGACGTCGATGGGCAGGGCTGTTTCACGTGTCTCCAGAGATGCTGGTTCACAGTGTCCCCTCTAAGCGGTGATGCCAGGCTCTCCCTGCGTAACTCAGCAGTGCTGACATCTGCCACTTCCTTAGAAATGGCAGAGTGAGCAGCGCTGTGTTTAGAAACTTTCTGTTTTTTTTCTTTTAGCTTTAGAAATACAAACATGCAATTATGTATTTATTATAAATATAAGATACAATATATTGTTGCCACATATTAGTCCATTGATGAGTTTAGTTTAGCTTATGGTATTATTTTGGTCCAGATTCTTTATTTTCAGTCATTCCGTTGTTCACTGGCTTCACTGTCAGTGAAGTCCATGATAGTGATCGTCACTGCTTCTCTTTCTTCCATGTGTGAAGCACATGGCTGTTCTGGGCACATAGTTGTTATGATTCTTCTAAGACACTCATGTCTTTCTGGAGACATATCATCCCCATAAACCTCTGTCACGAGCAGGGCAAAATAATGAAACATTCTAGAAAGACATAAAATGTAAAGTCAACTCTCTCAGCAAGGATTGTTTCCTGGGTATCAAAATTATACACGTATCCAATGTTCTTCTAGAGCTCTACACTGTAGCCATATTTATCAATATATATTAAAGTATATGCCTGTTAAATATATTTATATGTATGCTTATGTTAACATATATGCACACTAAACATACTTCCATAGAAGAGCTTACACCATGTTCTCCAGCCTAAGCCTTGTTTTCCCTTATCATACCATGAAGATGGGGATGGGCTCTAGGGTCAGGCTGATTGGGTCTTTCACTTGCTGGAAGGTCACCTTAGGCAGGTCACTCACTGGTTTTCAGTTTCTCTATCTGTAAAATGGTGATAATAATAATATCTACTTCACAAGGTTGTTGTAAGGATTAAATAGTTAATACAAAGAAAGCATTTAGAACAGATAAGCCCTCCACATTTGCTAGCCACCGCCACTATCATCAGGCTTCTCTGGTGGCTCAGCTGGTAAAGAATCCACCTGCAATGCAGGAGACCTAGGTTGGATCCCTGGATTGGGAAGATCCCCTGGAGAAGGGAACGGCTACCCACTCCAGTATTCTGGCCTGGAGGATTCTGTGAACTGTATAGTCCATGGGGTCACAAAGAGTCAGACACGACCGAGTGACTTTCACTTCACCCCTCTCATCATCATCATCATTGTTATCGTTACATAAATATTTTTTTTCAATATCAGAATATCCTATCCTTCCTCACTCTCCCTAATGGCTGAGTGATGATTATGGTATGCTTTATTTAACTTGTTCTTTAAATATTTTACATTTAAACTAAGTAATTGGATACTTGATCTAAGATTCTAAAGATAGATACAATTCTAGACTGAGTAACTTGGGCAAATACTTTCATTTTTTTGCATCTTAGTATCCTCCTTTATAGGATAAGGGGTCAGACTAGGTGATTTTTTTAATAATATTTGCCACCTTTAAAATTCCCTAGTTGAGTGTTTCTGCATGTCAAAAGCACTGTGGGAGGGGAGGGGAAAGAAATCTCAGAAACTTTACACATTCTATACTGGATATAAGTCATACATAAATATCATATCCAACTTGTAACTTCAAGTCTATTTCGAGTCAACTGAATATAATTCAGCCAAATATACCTGTGACTTTGGCAGAGGCACAAAAATTCTCCTCACGTGGCTGAGAAAAGATCATATCCCTAGTTTGAAGATTCTTGTGATGGGTGAGTATAAAATTTTTATCATTACATAGGGCATTCATAAGAAAAGTAAGGGTCAAATAATAGAAAGAGAGTCTTGGAATCATTTAGGCAATGTAACTAGCCTCTTGTTTTATTCTAGGGAGTTATTTTCTATTGCTTGCTTGCTTCTTAGATGCTAGTTGAGTTATTAACTTGGAGTGTTTGGAATACATCTTCTTTTCAAACACAATTATAGTGGACATTTAGGACAAATCATTCCAAGTGTGCTGAAAAGAACTAAACATATACTAATTCAAGACATGGTCTTTTCCTGGTGGAATAGGTATAACTCCTTACACACTAGAGATAAATTAAAAAAAAAAGAAATCAACAGAATGTGATAGGCCAGAAAGAGGACTGAAGAGTTGTGGTTTTTTTGTGTTTTTTTTTAGCTCTTTTATGTTGAACGGCTGTCTTTTGTAAAGGAGTTGGACCTGGATCTCTTACAGAGCTGTCTTAGAGAAAAACTGAGCATTGGCTGAGCAGAGGGGGTGAGGGGAAGTGGTCACCAAATAGGGTATCCTGTTTCTCATTATCAGGACAATTATTTCTGACATTTGACATCAAGGAATTAAACATGACAGTTAGTGGTCCTCTTAACTCTGAGGAATTATCATTAAATGGGTTTAAAATAGCTAATTATTGAAGTAGTTTAAAACTGTTTACTCAACTAATTTAAAGTATGTAAATTCCTTAAGGCTTTCTTTGGGCTCTAGAAGCTAGAAGCCTCTGGACAACAAATTATACCCCAATTGGATTATATTCTGCTCACTGGCAATTAGGTCTGAGGGCCCTGGGAGAATGGGCTATATAAGTAAGGAGATTTCATTTCAGTTGGAAAAGATCCTAGAACATTGCAGGAAAGGATAGACTCATTAGCTCTTTAGAAATATAATATGCGGAGCTATGATGCCTGTCTTAGTCCATTCAGACTGCTATAAGAAAAAACAGACTGGGTGGTTTATAAATAAAATAATTTTTTTTTTGCTCACAGTTCTGGAGTCTGAGATCGGAGTGCCAGCATGGTGGACGGAGGGAGTTTTTCTGGGTTGCACACTTCTTACTGAATCCTCATGTGGTCGAAGGGGCCAGGGAGCTCTGTGGGATCTTTTCTACAAGACCATGGATCCCTCATGGAGCTCCACCCTTTATCTTACCCAAACATAATTAGCTCCCAAAGACCCCACCTACTAATAACATCACCTTTGGGCATTAGGATTTCAACATATGAATTTTCACACCATAGCGTGCCTTAAAAGTTTTATTTTGGTTTTTATGACTTGGGACCCTTGTCACACTGAAAAGCTGTTTTTTCCTGGAACCTCAAGCTCATGGTGCTTGACGATAATGCTGTTCACTACCTCTGATGGGGACTACTGAGTTCATCTCAGATGAATAATGCCAAGTTCTTACCAGGATGTTGAGAAAGGAAAAATAGTGTTTGTATAATGAGATCAGGCATCATGAAAAAAAGTGGCAAGGAGAACAACAATGTGAATACAAACATATACAATTTCTTTATGTCTGTAAATTATTAAAATGTTGTATCTGAGGTAGACTTTCCAAAGCTACTTCTTTTTCTTTGCGCTAGCTAGAAGGAACTTGTATACAGCTTTCTCTCCAGTTACCTCATCTTCTCTTTGCATCCTCTTGTGATAAATGAATGTATGGTTGGTATAAATGTGACCTTAATGTACTGGAGCAAAGGCCTCCACCAACCAGATCAAGTAACTCTTTAATAGATAAATTTACTCTCCTGAATCTGGAGACTAGACAGATTAGAACATTCACACAATCTGTGCCAGTCTTAACTTTACTTATTTAAACTAAAGAAAGTTTGTGCAGTGTGACCCTGTCTTACAGAAGCTGGGCCTACGGATAGCATTAGTCTGATCACACGCTCCCCAGCCCTCCCCATGAGAGAAATAGTTTTTTGTTATTTTATATTAGCCCCCATCCATCCTGCTACTTTGACACCAACACCTGACTATAAGGTTACAGTTGCAGCGTATGCCAGGTGGGTAAGTTAGAGGGGCCACTGATTTTCACAACATCATCATCATCTTATAACAGAGAGACCACAAAAACTGACTCAGAAGTGGCCCTACCTCCAATATACTGTCTTTCTTTGTTTCCCTTTCTCATTTATAAAATGGCAAGAAATTTTGTATTTTGAATGTCTGCTCCGCAAAAGTAAAAAATACTTTTGGTTTTCTAACTTTTAAAATTAGATTAAGAATGTTAAAGTAATGCTTTAGATCATGCATGACATGATTTTTGGAATATTAAATATATTTACTCTTGTACTGGTTTCTGATTTGAAATTGGTCATATGTTTAGTCAATCAAGACAGAAGTGGGATGCGGTGTTTCTCCATCAATCTGTTATTGCCTGATATTCTTAGTGTGTTCGCTTCCTGCCTGTGAACGGGATTTAGGCTTTTTAAAAGGACACATATTCTTTAGGAAGCACAATAACTCATAATTAATAAATGCAAATATGAAGGAAAAGATAAATGAATTTCATGTAGCCTATGAACAGTCTGCTTGTTGAAGTCATTTATCGTGTACATTGAGCTTTGTGTGTATTTCAGTACTTAGCTTGCCTCCCATCAGAGTTTTCCCCTATGAACTGGACCACATCAAAGCCATTGCCTATTACTTCATTCATCATATGATTTCAGAGAGGGTTGCACTCTGTGGGTTTTGGGCCCTGACTCAGTCTATGTAGAAGAAACCCCCCCCACATCACCCTTGCCTATAGTTTTACAAAGGATTAAACAGATAAAAAATAAGCAAAAAATGCTCTGATCTATGACCAAAATGCTCAGGATAAAAGATGAGCAGACATTTAATCAGAGTGCTTAGAAAACAAACGCAAAATTATATTTCATGCCTTCACCACCATCATTTATACAAATGTTTTACATCTTCATTTTGCTTTTTGTCCTTAAAAGACCTTAATGAACCTGCACCATGCCTGTTGATTTTTTTCTAACAGGTTGCTTGAAGAACCTCAAGGAACTCAACGTGAGTTTCAACCGTCTGAAGAGCATTCCTCCAGAACTGGGAGACTGTGAAAATCTAGAGAAACTGGATTGTTCTGGAAATCTAGAATTAACCGAGCTCCCTTTTGAAGTAAGAAAGAAACATTTCTGCATGGTGATTTACTTTTACTTGGTTTATGACCTGGAATGGTCTATAATATGGGGAAGAAATTTTAGAAGATGAAATCCATCTTTACTTAAGTCACATTTTCATGACATTTTAATCATCGTAAACCTGCTAATATGAAGTCTTTAGAAATGTGCTTTAAAAAAAAAAAAAGAAACGTGCTTACACTTGGCTAGAACCCAAATTTAATTTCAGAGCTGCTATCAAAAGGAAACTAGGCAAAATAAATCCTATTTTCATGCAAGGTATTTTTATCTAATATCTACTTAATATATCCATAATGCAGATCCCAACTTGTTTATCCATAATGGAGAAAAAAATTGGTAACAATTGGAAATAAAGTGGATAAATAAAGTGGATAAAATTTTTAAAAATGTAGATGCAGATAAGTAAAGCAGTCCAGAGATATGATTCGAGAAGTCCATTAATTAAAATATATCCATTTGTTTCTTTTTTGTCTGTATTCATTGGGAAAATGATTTTAAATTATTTCCTGATAGAACAGATGAAAGTCAATAGTTTTTGTTGTTAAATAAAACTCAACAGGCTTCTTGTGCTTGAAGAGCAATAGGGATCTCACAAAGCCTGCTGCTAATGAATAGGCTAAAAATAGTGTCACTGGTGAGGCTCTGACAAGGCCCTGGCCACTGAATCTGTCTAGTCCTGGAAGGCGTATTCTTCTTCTTTCCTGGAAACTTCTGGGTGAGAGAGAGGGAGTGGCTGCTTCCACTCTTAGCACCTGTGTGACCCAGGAAATGCCGAGGGATGGTCCTGGTGAGGGGGCACAGCCAGGGCTCAAAGTTCTCCCACAAGCTTCTCATTCCCCAGTCCTCCCATTTTTACAGAGAGGCCCAGTCCTTTCCCAGATGTGCAGGCTGGTGGCAAAGCCAACTCACGTTTGACGTCTCTTGCTCCCGTGCCCCATGTCCACTCCATAAGTAAGTCCTGTTGGGCATGCCCTTCGGAATAACAGTTGAGATTTCTGATCATTTGCCATGCCTCTTTACCAGTTCAAGTGTGAGTCTCCTGAAGATTGGCCAAAACCCATTAAGACAGGCTTCACTAGGTCACACTACTCTTTGAGGCTTACACTTTTTGTCTTCTCTGGCTTTGCACGTGCTGTTCCCCACCCGGAGTTTCCTCCCCAACCTTTCCACCTGTCAAGGAACCACAGGACCCAATTCAAACACTCCATTCTCTGTGACCTCTTTCCTGACCCCTGACCCTCACCTCACTCCTTTCTCTGTGTTATTGAATGTTGCAAATTGGAAACTTCCTCACACTGGTTCTTACTACATAAATTTACCTTGCTCATTTATGAAAGTATAAACCCCTCAAGGGCAGCCACTGTGAGCTATTCAGTCTTATCACCCCCCAGAAAGTAGCACAGTGAAGAACACATAATAGGTGTTCAGAATACATACTATATTCATCTGTTTTGCATATGTTCACATAAATGCCTTTGGAAAGAGACGTCAATCTAAAAATTATTAGTTGAATTTAATTCCCACTGTTAAAAAGTAGTTAGACACAACATTGTAATAAATCAATGATTGCCCCAATAAAAGTTTTAAAAAATAAATGAAAAATTTAAAAAGTAATTAGAATATTTTGTTATTCCTTCCTAGTTAAGTAATTTGAAGCAAGTTTCATTCGTAGATATCTCAGCAAACAAGTTTGCCAGTGTCCCGATCTGTGTCCTGCGGATGTCTAATTTGCAGTGGTTGGATATCAGCAACAATAACTTGAATGACCTGCCACAAGACATAGACAGGTAGCTACTTGCATTCTGAAGGCGCGGTACATGAACTAGTCACTAACATTTTAAACATGCCTGACACATGAATGTTTTTGAAGATCAACTGATTTTCCAGGGTTTCTTGTTTCTGAGAAATTAGTTTGGTTCTTTATAGAATAAGACAGTTGTCACTCTACGTCATACATATTCACGTACAGCTGACCCTTGAACAACGAGGGACTTAATCTGCATATAATTTCTTGTTGGTCTCTGTACCAGGGGTTCCTCTTCATCTGCAGATTCAACTAACCACAGACCCATGCGATATTGTAATATTTACTGTTGAAAAATATCTGCATATGGGTGGACTCACACAATTCAGACCTATGTTGTTCAAGGGTCAACTGTATATATATATATGTGTGTGTGTGTGTGTGTGTGTGTATATATATGTGTGTGTGTGTATATATATATATGTGTGTGTGTGTATATATATATACAGTTTAAACACAATATATATACACATGTATATGTGTATATATATATATACACAATTTGAACACATCTTTGTTTTACTTTAGTCCTCAGTAGAATGGAATTTTAGCTTTCCCTTACTCCCCAGGAGTAGAAAAGTAAATAATGTGTGGAATAGAAACATATCATTCTATATAGGATATCAGAATAATTTTTATTAGTTCATTTATTGCTTTATTATACATAATGTTTCAAACAAAATTGATATGCTTAGTAAGGTTTTCAAGTTCTATCCTTGTAGCTATTTCGTTTTTAAAAAAATATTATACAGAGTCATATATGATAGATTCATTCATTCAATCAATCAGCCGGTATTACTAGGCTTCTGTATGGCAGGCCCAAGAGTGGGCTGAGTTCAAAGTGTGAATGAAACAAACTTTCTGGACTCCTGGAATCCATAGCGTTCATCATAAAGTAGCATAGTAAGCTGTTGGGACACAGGAACTGAAAATGGCTTGGTCCTGAATGCCATCTCATATGACCTTTCTCTACTCCTGGGACATTTGATGTATATGGATGCTTTCCTGGTTTATGAGACTAAGTGGGAATTGTTTTGGTTTGAAACACAAGGGGAACTTTGTGAAATATTTTGTGGGATCAATAAATTTTGCAGATGAGTGAAAGAAAAAGCTAGAGAGGCAGGCAGTGAGCTAGAAGAAAATGGAAAACAGAGTAAAACATTTGGACCATATTTTTGCTCATTTCGTTTTCACTCTGCAGGTTTATTTATATTTTAAAGTATGATGAGAGAATAGTAACTGTGTTCTCACAAAAGGAAATAAGTTACCAAAATTTGTTTATTCTCACTGCAATTCTAGTATGATTTCTTTCCCATATCTACCTGTGGGAACAGAGTAGATACTAGATAGAATGGCAGATACACTGATTTTATAAGTTCCATCATGGCCTACTATATATTGTGTAATTTGCTTATCCTGCTGCTATATCTGTATCTTCCATTGCCAACGAAGTCAGTAAAAACTTAAAAAACAAAAAACCCAAATCATGTCACCTAATATGACTTTATTTAAATCGTATAGCCAGCTTATTCTTATAAGGGTCATATATAAAAAATAAACTAAGTAGGGATTGCCTACTAGAATTTATCTGTAATTCACTTTTCTTAGCTGTGAGGCTAAGTCCTTGAGTTTTAATCCCTTTCACATCTTCTTAGGCTAGAAGGACTGCAGACCTTTCTCCTATACAAGAACAAGCTCACCTACCTTCCCTATGCCTTGCTTAACCTAAAGAAGCTCACCTTGTTAGTCGTCAGCGGGGACCACTTGGTGGAGCTCCCAACAGCCCTCTGTGACTCCTCCACGCCTTTAAAGTGAGTAGACGGCCTAGTAGAGACCCATTCAGACCCAAGGTAAGATCGAGGAGCCCCTGGAGCCTGGGCCTCCGTCTCAGGAACCATGTTCGATGGTTCTCCTACTCTGAGAACAAGAACTTCTGGTGCTTTCATATGGAATTTTGAAGCCTTTGGCCAATGGCATGGGGAGGTATAGCTCAGAGAATTTCTGGATAAATGCTACCTACTGGCTGAAGGCACAGAGAGATATGTGCCCAGGGCACAAATACCACACATACACACATAGATAAATACATATAAAATCATAAGTAACATATAAAAAGAAATCTGGATTAAGCCACAAATTAAATATAGGAAGGAGGCTATAAAATGAATGAGAATTGCCAGGTTAATGATGATAACGATGATAGATACATGATGATGTATTTAATACCTGTCCATCTTGAGACCCCATTAAAATGAGGGGAAAAAAACGTATAGACCCACAATGATGAAGGAAGCAGCTAAGGCCCTCACAGAATGAGAGGTCCCAACACATTTCTGGGAGATACTCAGCAGAGGTGACTGATGGATATAGGATGAAATAGGCTGAAGCTCAGAGGGCAAACCGAGAGATGAGCCATATCCTGGAAGACTCCAAAGATGAGTGGTAGTCGGATTTCAGGTATGGAAGGTGTAGACTGAGTCATGGTGCTAAAAGCAGAAGGAGCAAAAGGAAAGCTTCATACAAACAGGTGATTCCCTGCCTTCCAGATCTCCTCCTTGATTTCACTGGGCAGATCACTTAGCACCAAGAGTCTAGCCCACTGATCGAAAGTGTGAGGTTTGCTTTAGGGAGGCCCTGAGGGAATGACCCTGCAGTTTTGTGTTTGGAGATTCCCCAGGGGACTGATTTGCTCCCTGAGTGGTCAGCTACAGCAGGGGCTGTCCCCTGGGCAAACACTGTCTGCATATAAAGATGCCCAGACAACATTTTGCTGTTTCATTTTCAAAATACGAAGGTATCTGTAAGACTTACCAGATAATTGTCACAAACATATAAATATTATAAACTGGTTTTCAACTCTAGAATCCAACTGCAAACAAGATAGAAAAGTTAAATGTAGTTACAGATTGGAACGTGGATGGTGTTGACATTAACAATGTAAAACTACACAATGTCTGTGATGTGCTTTGAAATGCTTCAAAAAACCAGGTGGCTTGATGGGTGGCTAGAGGAGTGGGTAGGTCAGTGGATGGGTTTGTGATAAAGCAAGTACAGTAAAGTGTTAAATGTGGAACCTAGGAGTGGGTACAGGGGTGTTCATTGTAACATTTTCCAACTTTGCTGAATGTTTGAAAAAGTTTCATAATAAAATGTTGAAAAAATAAAAGTATAGATAAAAATTGGGAGGGAGGAAGGTTAGGGATATAGAGGGAGTTGAAAATAAGGGGAGGAATACCTTCACCTGATTAAACAACAATAAAGTATTTTTCCATGGTAAAAGATAATTTCAAATAGATTCAGTAAAAACAGTGATTGACCAATGACAAATTTCTTTGAGATGGGAGAGGAGCTATTCAAATTTTAAGATAGGTACAGTGATTACTTTGATAAAAAATGAAGGATGATAAAATATAGATATATGTCTTATTTTTGGGTTTAAAAAAGTGATAAAAATTCAATGAAAGAAATTGCAAATGAAAAGTTAAATGGATCTAGCTATATAAAAAGTAAAGCCTTTTTGCTTTCCGCATATTTAGCTATCAAATAAAGTTAAAAGGAAAATTAACTGGGATATATATATATATATATAAAGCTAGCAGCTGTGTGGCTGATATCATATATATATACATATATGTATATTTGTAATATATGTATGTGACTTCTACAAACCAAAGAGAGAAGACTAAATTCCCCAAGACTTAGTAGGACCTACAATTGCAACCAAGAAAAGATTTCCTATTTTGAATAGAAATATTTGTATAATCTTTCACATCAAAAGATCTTTCAACATTGTGAAGAAATTAGGTCAAATGCCATTTTGGTTTGTCTCTTTTAGCTTTTTTTTTTTTTTGTCACAGTAGTCCATATTTTAAATATTTCTTTGATGGGGATTTTATCTGAGTCCTTTTCAACATAGCCACAACATATTAAGAGTTTGCTGTCACTAATTGGGAGTAATATCAAACATAGTAAGGCATCATATCTGACAGAGAGGTGAAATGTTATTATTGTTCACCTCATGCCCACTGTCCTCTGTCTGTGGCTAAGTACCTCTCATTTTCCCAACAAACCTCTGCACAGTCTGGTATAAACTGAATCCAGTAATCCTATTGGATTACTGTACAGTGAAATTCCACCGGTGACACTATTATTATGTGGTCAGCTGTGACTTCCAAGAAGTGAGAAATTGGGATTTAGTGCCACAAAGGTTGACTTCTGAGAAGATTTTTGCACAATTACAAATGCACAGGTGAAAGTGGTAGTATTTTCCATATTCTCTTGAATAGATTTGTAAGTCTTAAGGACAATCCTCTTGAGAACACCCAGTGTCAAGATGGTGATGAAATGATGGAGAGTGAACGAGATCGCCAACATTTTGATAAAGAATTTATGAAAGCCTACATTGAAGATCTTAAAGAAAGAGGTAGGTTATTAATATTTAAAATTATTTTAAATGAGTGTATAGAATTCCAATCACTCGTGCAACAACACATTTATTGCTGTAAGCCAAACTAAAGAAAACTTGATTGGTTAGGGGCAGGTTACTTTGTAAATTATTTTCTATTTACCAAAAAAGAAAAAGAGAGAGATACATTTCCTTTCATTAAATAATCAAAATTTTCTAGTGTATTAGCCTGCTTAATACATCCTCAACCATGTGACAGAGAAGCTGGGAAACATGCACTTAAAATGTGAAGGTTGCATTACTAGCTTTATGTGTGATTGTAATGAAATGATACTGATAAAATAGTATTTTAATTAATAGAGTGGAATTTTCCATGTCAAAATCCATTTAAATTTAACTTTTAAAAAAGTCATCTCTAACATAAGTCAAAGTACACCTGTGAAACATCACAAAAGGAAAAAACGAAATGACAGATTATTGTGTGTATGCTGAGTCGCTTCAGTTATGTCTGATTCTTTGCGACCCTATGTACCGTAGCCCTCCAGGCTCCTCTGCCCATGGGGTTCTCCAGGCAAGAATGCTAGAGTGGGTCGCCATGCCCTCTTCCAGAGGATCTTCCTAACCCAGGGATTAAACCCACATCCCTTACATTTCCATTGGCAGGCTGGTTCTTTACCACTAGTGCCACCTGGCCGATTAGTAAGTAGATGCATTTAGCTTTGGTTTCCCATAACTAAATGATACAGAGGAACAGGGCGGTCACAGTACCTCAGGAAAGGGCGGAAGTGTTTTTCCCAGTGGCTGTTTCCAAAGTGTTCCAGAAGCCTTAGACCCCCTTCTTCCTGTAGAAACATAGACTCAAGGAAAGGCATCAATCAGTCTTTGTTCTTCTTTTTTGCTGCCTCTTTTCTTTTTTTTCCTTTTCTGAGTGTGGGTGCCCACAAGTTATCTTTTAATTTTTCCAGTTCTCTTTTTTTGATAAGCTGGGTGCAGACCTGAATGAAAGATGTCGTGCATGTGGATTTAGGGAGGATATAGCCCTGGCCCCGTGACTCTGAAGACATCACTTGTGGACAGGTTCCCTCAGTCAGTCTCAGAAAGTATCATACCTGTGAGCTTACTGCTCCCTTGTTAGTAGGAATCTGAAGATGATAAGTCACAGTCAGGTATTTAGGTATCTCATGACATTAATGAAAAATACCATTTATTGGCAAAGTAAAATTTTTCCAGTTAAAATAAGAAAATTTCTATACAGTTATCTCTCATGTGTTCATTCATCCTTAATCCTGAATCCTGAAATGTTATGAAATAAATTAGAAATTTATATTAAACATGAAACTGAAATACCAGAACCATTTATTTGTCAAAATTTATCTTTGGGTTGTATAATTTTCCTCTTGCAGAAAACTTTCTTGTATTTTATTCATTTGTTCATAATTCTGTTATAGTGTTATAAAAATGTAAGAATGGATTAGAGAAAATAGGTATTAATCTTTCCATCTATGTGGCCAGCAATAAAAATGGTTTGATTTTAAAAGTTAACTTTAATGATAATAGGTTTTGAATTCATTTGTTTATTTCTAAATAATTATAATTCTATCCTTCATATGGGCTTCCTGGTGGTTCAGCAGTAAAAGAATCTGCCTGCAAGGTAGGAGATGCAGAAGATGTGGGTTCGAATCCCTGGGTAGGGAAGATCCCCTGGAGAAGGAAGTGGCAACCCACTCCAGTATTCTTGCCTGGGATATCTCATGGACAGAGGAAGGAGCCTGGTGGGCTGCAGTCAGTAGAGTCGCAAAGAGTCAGACATGAATGAGCAACTGAGCATGCACGCACACACTCACACATCCTTCATATATTCACATTAGGTTGAACTAAATGATATTGACAATATTCAGCTGTGTTTGACCTACAAAAATGGTGATTTCTTAATAGATCAACCTAGATGTGGTTGGACATATGCTTTGACTTTTTTTAAGTTTCTCTCTTCTTCATTGTGCTGTCTTCTCTCTTTTCTCTCCTTCCCTTTCAGACTAATGTCTGAGTTAGAGAGTTCATCACTGTAAGGGAAAGAACATAGATTTAGTGGGACTTCCTTGGCAGCCCAGTGGTTAAGACTCTGCCTTCCAATGCAGGGGGTGAGGGTTCAATCCCTGGTTAGGGAACTAAGATCCCACATGCCGCAGGGTGCAGCCAAAATAAATAAATAAATAAATAAATAAATTTGTTTTAAAAAGTAGATTTAGTGAGTCTGTGTGGATGTCCAACCTTGTACGATTCAAGAATGTTGAAGAAGTGAGGCCTCTCCCTGGTCCTCACACTTTAGTGAACGTGAGATCAGCTACAGGCTCCACTCTCAGATGTTCTGAGTCATCAGGTCTGGAGTGGGGCCTGAGAATGTGCATTTCTAACAAGTTCCCAGGTGATACTGATGCTTTGAGTCTGAGAACCATTGTTATAGACCAGCCCTTGAAAAAATTTGGCTGTGAAGAGAGAAAGAGTATGCAATAACCAGTGGGAAGAGCAATAATGATAAAATGATTATTACTAAGATGGTGCTTGGTTTAGGTATAGCCCAGACTTCTCTTATAAACCATATTCCCTTCTACCTGGCATCTATAGTTCTTGGCCATATATTTCTATTTTATCAACTTTTATTATTTTAGGCTCATACAGTTTCCAGTATGTTGATGTAGCTTGTGTAAGGTGGTTGGAAAGATTGCAAAAGAATGAGAATTAGTAATAAGTTTATCTTCAGGACTTCCCTGGTGGTCCCGTGGTTAAGAATCTGCCTTCCAAGGCAGGGGACACAGGTTTGATACCTGGTTAAGGAACTAGATCCTATATGACACAGAGCAACTAAACTTGCGTGCTGCAACAAAGACACAGTGCAGAAAAGAATATATATAAATTTAAAAATTAAAAATCAATCTTAAATAATGCATTCTTCTTTCTATCTTGAGTCTAAATATCTCTAAAGCATGACTATACATTTGTCGTGATTGACTTAATGATGATAAATAAATGCATTTATCTCTATACTTGGAGTATGAAATGGCAGTGATTTGTATTTTGATGTGGTTACACTTCATAATAAGATGTGGAGTGGTTGAGTATATTTTTTTCTTTTTGTTGCAGATTCTGTTCCCAGCTATACCACTAAAGTATCTTTCAGCCTTCAGCTTTGATGCCATCCATCAGAAGACTACAGAATCTTCCTGACCTGTGGAGCTATAAATCTTCCTGTTGTGGGTTGTCATAGAGGAATAATGGCTTGGGCTTAACGGCAAAGTCTAGAAACCACTGTCATAGTTGTTAGGAAAAATGATTTTCAAATTTCAAATATGTGAATACCTCTCTCTGTGGACTGGAGAATCGATAAATGGGTTTATATATTGATATTTAAAGGTTCATTTGCATTTACTTGTTTCCAAATAATACACATTTAATGTTTTAGAAAATGTGTTTTTTAAAAAATTATCACTTAAAAGACCAAATTTTGAAGTTGACTGCATTGTTTTCAGAGATCCAGGGATAAAGGGGTGTTGAAAAGAGTATTTATATTGAACTAATCAGATGAGAGTTAATTTTGTTATTTTGAAAGAGTTTTAATGCATCATATCTTTTACTGAGGATGGTTTTCCTTGGGTTTATACAAATTGCTATTTTCGTATGTTTTAAGTTGTATTTTACCGAGTTTAGGCTTTCAGGAAAGACTTTAGGTATAATCTGGGCCTTGAAGGTAGAAAGACGGGCTGGATTGTCTGCCCAGGCATTGGGCTCAGATGGTGGCTCTAGTGGAGGATGTGTGGGCCTGGCTGATCATGGGAAGCCTGGTGGGGCCTACATGGATGGTCAGCCTGCCACGAGTGGGCCTCCTGGGGGTCCCAGGATGCATGCCAGAGCACGGAGCAGAGGCATTGCCTCCAGGGACCCACCCTCCAAGATGGTCATATAAGGTAGCAGGAATGACTAGTCCACACTGATGAGGAGTCCCTCGCAAGGCTTCCCTGCAGGTGCCTCAGGAAGGCTTTGCTCACGGGTGAGCCACTGTGGTCCAGAGAGAGCAGAGGAGACTGAGTTTCCATTGGCAAAGAAGGAGTTGATTAGAGGGCTTTGAACTTTGGTATCACATTATAAGATTTGGAGAAATTATACAAATATCTATTTTTATACTACTATCTTGGGCTAAAATAAACAAGATTGTGAATATGTTGAAGATAAGTTTTTAAATAAGTAACTTTTGTGACTAAGATGGAAAAATTGCATATATTCATATATGTTTATATCAATCCACTCCTCTCTGGTCTAGCTGAGTGCTGTCCAATAGAACTTTCTGCTGTGAAGGAAGTGTTCTGCGTCTGTGCTGTCTAATTTAGTAACTGACAGATGTATGTGCTTCTTGAGCTCTTGAACAATGTCTGGTGTGACTGAAGAAGAAATTTTTAATTACATTTAAATTGAAATAGTCAAAGGTAACTACCATGTTGGACAGCACATGTCAAGTCAGTTGGGTTTTTCAGAAGTTAATTGGGACTAGAAGTGAGCAATTTTTATTTCTTTATCTGAAGAACCAAAGTGGTTAAGACTGACACTCAATATTTTGTCTTCATAGGTTTAATCATACTTCTAAATATTTTATCCTCAACAGATATAAAGCAGGCAGAACAGTCTAAAGCCATACAGTAATGGTTCCATAGAGCATTGCTTCAACTTAAAGGCAAACTCTGAGAGGTAGGTTAAGAGATGAAAAGAGTAGGAGAGTCTCTTTTCTCAATTAATGAGAAGTCACTTTAATTGAACCTAAAACAGTTGTGTTTTTATTTATAGCACTTTAAAAATATAATGCAAATTTATCAGTTGTACTATGTGAATGACTTTGGGATTTTATTTCACGCCACAGTATATGTTACATAACAGCCAAATGGAAAATTTATCTCAAAAGGGGGGAAATGAGGGCTTTCACATAAATTGACTGTCCATAACTCATGTAAAATTTATTTCAATAAAACCAGTCTTGTGCAAAAAAGACCCTTATATCGATGTTACATAAAAATAACTGAAAAAGTATTGAATACATTGATATGTAATTATTTCATATTATATAACATCCCATAATGTTTATTATGTTTAATAACATAACTAAAGAAATATAGACTAAATATGAGGCTTGTAGAAATAGTCTTTACTCATATAAATGTAAAAATGCAGAAAGATTCTAAAGTAGAGTAAGCATCTTAGTGGAAATAAGAGAGATCTGAACATTTTACATGATGCATATGGATTGACTCATAATTTGGAAAAGTAATTTACATAGACTATAGGTATGAATAGTAAAGCAATATGAATGAAAGAAAATATAATTCTTGGGATAAAAATGTTCTGGTTCCAAAAGCTTATTATGATGCCCATTTTTCATATGTTGAAAGTAAAGGGGTAAAGACACTTGGTGAAATCATTGAGTAGTGCGTTTTAATTAATAACAAGACCTACACTAGATTCCTTGACTTTAGCTGTCTGGAATGACCGTTTGACATGCTTGCCAAACACCAGTTTAGGGTAACTCAGGGCTGTGAGGAGTCATCTCTGGAAATCGGTTACTGTCTTTCCCTCCTATTCTTTCCTGCCTTGGTGCATCTCCCTACTTTTGAGTGGAAAGAAAACTTAGATCTTTGAGTGATTTTTTTTTTTAAATTGAAGTGTAGTTGACGTATGATATTGTGTTAGTTACAGGTGTATAGCACAGTGATTCAGTTATACATGTGCTCATTCTTTTTCAGAGTCTTTATAGCTTATTGCAGAATATTGAGTAGAGTTCCTGTGCTCCTCGGTAGGTTATCTTCCTTATAGTGTCTGTATGTTAACCCCAAGCTGCTAATTTATCCCTCCCCCCCACATTTCCCCTTTGGTAACTGAAAATTTGTTTTTGAAACCTGTAGAGTCTGTTTCTGTTTTATAAAGAAGTTCATTTGTATTATTTTTAAAAATTAGATTCCACGTATGAGTGATATATGTGATATTTGCCTTTCTGTCTGACTTAGTTCTCTTAGTTTGATGATCTCTAGGTCCATCCATGTTGCTGCAAATGGCATTATTTCATTCTTTTTTATGGCTGAGTAATATTTCATTGTATACACATACCACATGTTTGTACTTTCCTCTGTCAATGGACATTTAGATTGCTTCCATGTCTTGGATATTGTAAATTGTCCTCCTGTGCGCGTTGGGGTGCATGTATCTTTTAGAAGTATGTTTTACATCAGGTGTATGTCTAGGAATGGGATTGCTGGATCATATGGTAGCTCTATTTTTAATTTTTTAGGGAAACACTATACTGTTTTCCAGCTTTCCTGGTGGTTCAGTGGTAAAGAATCTGCCTGCCAATGCAGGAGATGTGGGTTCAGTCTCAGGGTTGGGAAGATCCCCTAGAGAAGGAAATGGCAACCCACTCCAGTACTCTTGCCCGGAAACTCCCATGGACAGAGGGGCCTGGTAGACTACAGTCCATAGGATCACAAAGGGTCAAACATGACTGAGCGACTGAACACACATACTGTTCTCCACAGTGGCTGTACCAATTTACATTCCCATCAACAGTGTAGGAGGGTTCCCTTTTCTTCCCACGCTCTCCAGCATTTATTGTTTGTAGATTTTTTTGATGATGTCACACTTTCTGACCCGTGTGATGTGATACCTCATTGAAGTTTTGACTTGCATTTCTCTAATAATTAGTGATGTTGAACAGTTTGTCATGTGCTTTTTGGCCATCTGTGTGTCTTCTTAGTTATTGTTCTGCAGTGTACATAGGTTTAAATGCTTATTTTATGGTATGTATATTGGTTTTATTTCTAAAAATTAGGAAATTATATCTAAGCTTTAAAATTTGAAATGGTGCCAAACTTTAGTGTTGGTAGGCAACTCAAATATCTCTGCTTAGAGTCTCCAGCTCTGTCATCAGAATGAAAAATTGAGATGCTTCTGTCATTTTATTGCAGTGTAATATACATTACAGGAGAAGAAAATTACAGTTGAGTAGGCCTTAGCACCACTCATAATTCTTAGGAAAGAAAGCAGCAGAACCCTGGTACTGGGACCAAAGAAGATATGATGTTACATAGATGAACTTGCCTTGACTGTGAAATTCACCAGGGGACAGAGAGGACCCAAGGCTGAGCCTGCACCGGTAGCGGTGTGGCTTTGAGGGAAGGAGGGACACTGTCTGGGGTTAGGATTTCAGTCTATTTTTCCCCACCTGCAAAAAATAGAGTTGGGGAAGACAATCTTTGAGGCTGATCCCCACTTTTAAGATTTAATGATTTGCCTTCCACTAGGAGCCCCCTTTTTAAAAACAATTTTAATTAAAAAATTTTTAATCTCCTTTTTATTTTTGGCTGTGCTAGGTCTTTGTTGCTGCTCAGGCTTTTTCTCTGGTTGCGGTGCGCAGGTTTCTCATTGTGGTGGCTTCTCTTGTGGAACATGGGCTCTAGGGCCCGGAGGCTTCAGAAGCTACGGCATGTGGGTGCAGTAGTTATGGCTGCTGGCCTCTAGAGCCCAGGCTCAATAGTTGTGGCATAGGAACTTTAGTTGCTCTGAGTCGTATGGGATCTTCCCAGACCAGAGATCGAACCAGTGCGTCCTGAACTGGCAGATGGATTCTTTACCACTGAGGCATCAGGGAAGCCCTGAACTCCTTTTTATGTTAATGATCCAGCATGCCTTCCCCACCTCACTGATCACCCAGCTTCCAGGTGTTTATGGGCTGTGGGACCCCCTCTCTCTTACATGCTGTTTCTTAGGCATGTATTTGTTCTGTCTTGTCCTGCTATTCATTTTAAGTCTAATAGCAGCTTGTCTAATACAGGTATGTAGACTGTGCTCAAGTCTGTGAAAAATTTACCCACACATTTGTGTTGTGTTCCCAGTAGTTATCTCTGTGCTGAGTTCTTACAAATATTATTTCTGATATTGCCTTGGAAGATTAAACTTACATCATAAAAAATTGCATGGTCTAGAAATGCAAATCAAAAATACTATAAGATATCACCTTACACCATTGATATGGTGATTACCTATTAAAAAAACCCCAGAAAATAAATGAAATGTTGGCTAGAATGTGAAGAAATTGGAATCCTTATGTTGGGATTGTAAAATGGTGCAGTTACGGAACAGTTTGGAGGTTCCTCAAAAAATTAAAATAGAATTACCATATGATCTTGCAGTTCCACTTCTGAGTATATATCCAAAAGATTTGCAAGCAGAGTCTCAAGAGAGATTTGTGCACCCATATTCACAGAAGCAGTAGTTCCAACATCCAAGAGGTGGAAGCAACCCAAGTGTCTATCAACAGATGACTGGATAAACAAAATATGCTACATACATAGAGTGGAATATTATTCAGCCCCACAAAGGAAGTGAAATCCTGTCAACATGGGTGAACTTTGAGGGTATTATGCTAAGTGAGATGAACCAGTTACAAGAAGACAAACACTATATAATTCCACATATATGAGATACCTAGTCAGATTTAAAGAAACAGACAGAAGAATGTTGGTTAGCAGGGCCCAGGGGGAAGGAGAAACGGGGAGTTGTTATTTAATGGCTACAAAGCTTCAGTTTTGCAAAATGAAGTAGTTGTAGAGATTGCCCTGGAGGGAGCAGCCTGCAGGCTGGGGCTGGACCAGACCAACCCTGTGCTTGCAGAAATCACTGACATCGATGAGGGGGGCAGACGGATGGAGAAGGGGACAAGGGTAAGGGAAAAGGAGCATTTGCTTTCATTTTAGCCACGTAAACAAGAGGATTCCTGTTTCTACAATTAAAAGAAAATGTGAGAATGAGTCTTAAAATAGTTCTCATTAATCAGAACAGCAAACCTGTACAAAAACAACTGCATTTCAGAATCTTGCTGAGAATTCATGCACAGGCTTCCACCCTTGGTCCTTCAGAGCAGGGTCTCCC